TTTGTTTATTGGATGAAACGAAAAATTATTCGGTTTAATTTTAGGGCCCTTGGAACCATGATAAGCAGTGCATTTGGTTCGAAAACATGGCCATAATTGACTATTTCTATCGATATTTCTTTCCGTGTATCCACCCCTGAGCGGTTGCTGAAATAATTTGCGTTTCAAGCAAAAATTTAAATCCGAATTAGATTTTTGGATTCCAGAAAGTTTCTAATACCTGTCAAATCAAAAATATTTGTACCACTCTTTCCAAATAAGTATCAAGGTTATTAATTCTTAAAACGCTTAAAAGTGTGCAACAATTCATTTCATTAACATAAATGTACATTTCAACGAATTTAAATTGAGGTCTATTTATAAAATAATTTGTTCTTCGTAGCAGGCCACATTTTATTAAGCCGAATTTCATCTTTTTAAAAGTCTAAGACCCGCTTCTTTTCAAGAATCATAACGAGTCATTCCATCTTCTCCTTGGTCTGCCAACTTCTCTTCTTCTCCTCGACCCTCCTCTGTAGTAATCCTTACGATACTTTTCTCGTCCATTCTGTCAATATGATCGTTCCATTCTTTCATGCGGTCTGCTAGTCATTCCGTAATGGGCTTAACTTTCCACTCTTCCCTGTTTCAGTTTCTTTCCTTACCCAGTACAATGTGATTTGTAATTGTTCTTAGATCTCGTATTCGGCGACCTCAAGTTGTTTCGTCTTGCATATTGTATCTTCTGTATAGGTTAATATTGGTCCTTGAATTTCGTGTAGCAACATATTAGGTCTTCACAAAAAAATGCGAGCTCCCTCTGCTCCATGCTTCTCCAATAAAGAGGAATTGCGAATGGTCTTCTGGAGAGAATAGAAATCCTCCGCAGGAGTAAATCGCTCAAATTAATTTGCGAGTCCCTCCACTGCCTCCGAAACGCAAGTATGGAGTCCGCCTAGGGTCGTGGAGTGGAATTCGCCACTAGAAGCCCTTCCCTTTGTGAATCGCCATTGTCCGACTTCCTCCAGCCGCAGCAGCTGCAGCGGAAGTGAAACGACAGCTCCGGCAAACGGGAACCTCTCGGGACCGGGCACGTGCGTTGCAATGGTACGTCCATCAATCTCAGCAGCAACACAGCAATGGTCTCAGGTAGATACAAAAATGTTACAAAAACGTCTTACTGAGTACAACAAAATAATGCCAATATTACAGTCGTGCAGGAAAACAAGTCAGTGAGGCCTGAAGATAGGAAAAAGACCTAAAATGAAAGTGGCCTGTTCAGACTTGGCTGGCCTTTTTCAACGACAGAAAATAATTTTCTGCCGTTTTAAGCCGCAAGCGTGACATGGCACAGAGAGAATTATTCTCTGTGTCTCATGTCTCACTTGCGGCTTGAAAGAGAACCCTGGATAAATGAACGTTGAAGGTAAATCCTACGAATAGTCTTATCCTAATCGGATCCCATTTCAGGCAAACAACACCACAAGAAATGGATAAACATAATATGTTCTTGAGTCTAGCCCCGCCAGTGATCATGAGAGTAAGAAAAAACAGTTAGTAATGTTGGACGTCAACTTGATGCCAAACTGGATAATACATTACAAAACAATATATGTCAGTACCATGACGTGGAGATACAATCCCAAACCGCGCACAAGAAATATCATCATCATCATTATGTGAACTTATGAGTTATAATTTACAAAATTATCTAAGATAGCTAAAGAGAATGGACAATTGTGGATTGTCTAACAGCTTGAAAATGTCCCTTTTCAGCTTTTAATACGAATGTATTCTGACATTTTTAACTTCAGCATCCTGTATCAAAATTAAAAGATCAATAATGGAAACGAATAATATACAGGCTGTTCACACCGTATACTAGTGAGAAAATTTAATACCTACTAAAAATTAGTGATAAATGCGCAAGATACAGAGTACTTCTAACGTTAATTGCTATAATTTCACTTAATTCCGAGATTAAAGTTAGTAAATCGACATTTACTCAAAAGAGATAAGCGAAAGCAAATGCTTATTTCGCCAAGCACGACCCTTGACATCAATCTACCTTAGTCGCGCGCCCCTGGGTTTTTTTCTCGCTCCACATTCCGATACACCGGGTTGCCTACCCGTAGGGGCGCCGTGGAACACAGGTGCGCTCGGAGCAGCGAGTCACTCTGCAGACTGAGCTACTAACAGCGTAGGTCACTTCGACCCTTGAAGACCAAGTATGCTATCAGACACAAGATAAATGTTGCGAAATGTGAGGAACGCAAAGATTATATGAACAACAAACATTCATTGAGTCAGTATACTGATGGAGTATTTCAACTCCTATGTGTTTACTAGAATAGGATGAGAACATGCACTTCGATGATATACGGGCAGCTCACAATCACCGAATATCGAAGAACCTGCGTTGCGTTGTTTACTTTAAAAGGGCTCTCTACTAGATTCCCAAACTATTTATTCAATAGAAAGTTTGAACTGCACTTTTCTTAAATTCTATCTAAATAAATACATTAGTTTTATGTGAATATTCTTAGGTTGGTAACAAGGCAAAAACAACAGGTACCCAGTTTCAGCACAATGTAATCAACGTTTGTGAAATAAATGTGAGTAATTTCTAACGGATACTCATACATTACATCCCTTCAATTCTCTTAAGCATAAACGCGTGTGAAAATAATCGCTGAACGTACCTGAACACAGTACAGAACCTGCAAGTGGTGCAACGCGTAAAAAAATTCAAGTCGCCAACCGAGTTTTCCAAGACTCCTTAACTACTAGTTTCAACACAATGCTACGTACTTCTCGAGTCGTGGTTACGGCCTTCGGGGGGGGGGGGGGGGTGCGAAGCGCCACGTCACGATAAGAGCAAGGAAGGTGAGACGGCTTTGGGCCTCCGCGAGATTGCTGCCCCCACCCCTGTGCAAACACCACGCGGCCTGGGTGAGACGCCCCAAGGCGTACCGCCCTCGGAATGTGCGCCGCATCGGAAGAAATATTGGCGCAGTGTGTTGCTTTCGAGCGGCGGGGGGGGTGAAGGGAATGTGAATGCCGCAGACGGTGGGGCCGTTTTTTACTGAGAAAATGTTACTTAGAGCAGAGATGCTCAAATGGAAGAAATTGGGGCCACGATGTCACCGGCGGCCGTGTGCAGAGGCCCGAGTGCCGCTCGCCGTTCACTTGACTAGAGCTGAACGCGATCAAGCGCCTGCTTCCCCTCCCGTCAGGATGACTCAACAACCGATGGCAGACAAGCGCAGATAAGCGCTGACCCACAATTCGCCAGGCGTGTTGATGAGGGGCATTGGCTGACGCTTTTGTGAATTGGTCCAAATATGTTCTGAAGATTTCTAATAATTCAATTTATAATTCAATAATAACTCAATATCAATTTGATCATTTAATTTCATTACTATTCTCACGAGAAAAAATTATTAAGTTTTCTTTTGTCTCACTTTCGTGGCAACTGCGATTAAAAGATAATTCATCGACCCATCGCTATATATCGTATTTCCAGGCTCTTAAAGGGCTATGGCCATTAATCCTGAAAATATAGTGCATGTTGTTATTACGGGAAGTGGCGGTGTACTTCCCCGCTTAGATCTGCCGCCGACCTACACGCCGGATTGCAGGATTTTCCTTATCAAGGTACCTCCCAAAAGCAGAGTATCGTTCCAGCCGGAACAAGCTCTAACTCCTCGAATGGTGTCCTTCCATAATATGTGGTAATGTAATTTATGTACGTCTAAATGAGTGTACACAAGGGGAGCGGATAGGACAAGGAAAAGAGAGAGGAAGAGGAAGGAAAGGCCGCGAGTTCAAATGTCCTTTTGGGAAGTTATGTCCCGGTCTTTGCCTGGTACTGTTTGGTAAAGCCAGGGAAAACTACCAATCAGAGCAGTTAGAATTCTCCTCCAGATAGCGGCTGAATTCGATCTAGGTGTCAAGCCAGCCATCGAAAATCCTGCCACCGTCGGAACCCGAACCCTGGTATCTCCCGGTCACGTCACTATAGTCTACGTAATGTACATAGCATACAGATTTTGAGCATTAAATACAAGTGATCTGCAAAACATTTACATCGATCATTTATGCGCACAAACGCCATTTAGTCGAAATTTTAGCCGATCTACCATTTAGCCGAACAAACAATCGGAATATCGAGTGATCCGCAAGCGGCCCCGCTCGAGCGGCACGCAGCTGCCCAAGCAGCGCAAAGCCGGCGGCGCGCCGCCCGCCTGGCCGCCTGCCGTGCGCGCGCTCCGGCGAAACCTCTTCGCGTCGCAGATGGCGCCCGGCGCCGAGCCGGAAACGCCATCTGGCGGAGGCGGGCGCGCTGGACGGCGTCCGGCGCCGGAGGCCGAGGCGCAGGCCGGCACAAGGCGACGCGCGACGCGGCCCCGCAACCGCCAGTCACGCTCGCTTCCGCGCGACGCGGTGCACCGCGCCGCGGAGCCACTCGGACTCCAAAGAGGCGCCGTGGAACTCACCTCTACTCACAGAATGCACTACAGTTACGGAACTAACGACCGTAGCCGTTGACGCGTTCGGAGACACGAATTATAGCGATGTTTCGATGAATTATCTTTTAGCCACAGGTGCCGCGAAAATGAGTAGAAAGGGAAGTTATTGTAATATTTTTTTTCTCGTTAGAATAATCGTAATGAAATGAAAAAATTCCATTAATAATCCAGTGAGCCACGTCTTTAATAAGGTTATTTTCCTATATTCAAATTAAAAATCTGTTTGCCTTAAAATGTATTTATACATGTGGTAAACACTTGCTTAACTCATTCTTAAAAACAATGTAATCTTTTTGTTATCTTTTGTATATTCGGGTAAGAATAAAGGACATTTGAGTTTTAAAGTCAGCAAAAACGCTTCATACGACTTTGATAGTTGACAATTTTTTATCGCCAATTGCTGTAAAAATTGGTAAGAACAATAATCTGTCACTTACGAAGTAAATTACATTAAAAAATTAAAGACAGTTTCCACAATGTCCTATGGTTTTAAAAATTCAGTCCTGAGGATTTTATTTTTTTAAATAACTTTGTATGGCAGTTTTTATCATTCCTACAAAGAATAGTAATTAATTTAGTTGTTTTTAATCAAAAAATATATATTTCGCCTGCTATAAGAGCAAGAAATATCTCTAAAAGATCACAGTGAAAAACAGAACTTTTCGTCAATCAGCCGGGTGAAAAGATGAAAATAGTTAGATTCCAAAACTGACTGATAAATTTGTGAATTTGTTCGAGAAAACAAAATAAGCTATATTATTTTTTGGTCAATCTAAAGTAGTCACGAAAAACTTACCAAAATACTATTCTTTCAAAATGAAACAATGTTGTTAACAGTTTCAAAGAGCTGGGTTCTAAAGTAACTGCGTATAGTACAATAACGCCAGTGAAATGAAATGGAGTGAGTAATATGGGAATAATTGGTACAAAAAATTCGATTAGCGATGGTGAAAAAGTATTTTTAAAAGTACAATAAAGACACAGCTCATAGAAAAACTAATATTTAATTTTTGGAAAAAATACTTTTATTAACTAGAAATGTGTTTTATAAATACGTATCTAAAATGTTATTTTTTCAAAACAAAACACAGAAAGCAGCTCAAAAAACAGTATGTAGAAATTTATGAAGTGCAGTATGACGGTTCTCGGCTGCGACGTTGTTTCGCTTCTAAAACCTGCCTTTTTTGCAAAAACACAAAACACGCCAGGAGTTTTCGCTGAAACTCACCAGAGCAGCTGTGCAGAGTGCGGCAAACTGGTGATGGAAAGCGAAGTAACTCACCTGGAACAAACAGAAACAACCGTTAGCTAGCAGCCACTGAGTTCTTTCAAGACTCGGTCGCTTTAAACGGTGGCGGGTGCAATGACATCAAAGAAACCCTTAATCGTGGCGATTTAAGAAACGAACTCCATTTTATAATGAGCAATAAGAATAAGAACTAAGTGCGATGTTCATTAAAGGAAAACATCAAAGACAGACAAGGGATATTTACAGAGTATTAAATCGCCCGAAAACGGAAGTAGAAAATTATGTGCTGATCTCTTGTTTCTTATATTCTTTTAATTCTAAAGACATTAGCTGTTTCATTAATTACCTTTGTAAGACATTAAATTGAACCGTAGTGTTGAACGAAGTTTATTTCTAACATTCTCCTCATGGAGATATTGAGTTTTGGGCTTTAACTTCTCAGCATACAACATTGTTCTCATTATATATGCAGATATTTCTTAATACACATTCGTAGAAATTCACTTTAGAGCACGTACACTCAGTTATGATTATACTGATATCTAAATGTTACAGTAACTTATTAAACATTTCTTTATGATTTTTAAAATGAAACAGAAACTCCAGCATAAATTTACAATTAGTACTCAAAAGAATATTAAATTTCTATCTGAAAAAGCGCATTTCTTAAACATGATGCTCGTAATGAAATCTCTAACAGAAGGCAATCCACGCACAAGGAACACACCCAGGACGCCAGGGCCGCCGAAGGTCAGTGCGGTTTAATGCCCCTTATATGTTTTCCGAAGCGACCTGCGGGGCTGACAGAGCGGAAGCGACAGACAAAACAGCGCGATTCCCAGAAGGCGGACAAGCTCGCGCTCTCGGTTGACGGCGCACGTGACGGGCGAGGACGGGGGTGGGGGCGTGGTCTGGGACGGAGTGGGGACGGTGGTGGGGACGGGAGAGGGGACGGGGGTGGGGGACAGGGTGGGGACGGGGACGGGGGCTGCCGCGTGGCGAGTAACGCGAAGCGGGCGAGCGGAGACGACGAAAGAGTATAGAGATAAATGCACGGGACACTTCAAGTGGAAAGTTGTAGGTAACGCGAGTAGGAACAGAGCTGTGATCGCCGGGATCATCGAGAAAAAAATGAGCATTGAAAGCAAGGGAAGTGGACTAATTTAGTAGATGTCATACCATAACCAACACATCATTACAAAAGAATGAAAGACAAAATAATGTAGGTGCATTAAGAGTCAAATGACATGTCAGTCACTGGTACAGCTCTTCCTCCTCACGTTCTACTCTGCAGAATAAAAATCTGTTGTTCTGATTCTATCCCATTTAGAGTACTTAGATCTTGGTATCTATGAATATGAATACAGAATGGTTACTTAATAGAACGATTACAGAATGGAACAACTGAAATGAAAAGCAGCAATTGAAGAGACATTTGTCGGCAAGAGACACGAAAAACAATTACGAATCCTGGGTTTGTATGTTCCGATATTTAAATGAACTGCTCTAATAAGGCTTATTGAAGAACTTTATCCTAAGTCAACATTCATTTAAGAATTCATTTATGAAAAAGATTGAAGATACATACAAAAAACTATTACACCTTAACAGGACAATACGGAAAGATTCCGAACTCCGTAAAGGAAAGAAATCGCAACGAGGGTGCGACCTCACGGAGGAGAGTCTGGAGGGGAATCTTTGGGACGGAAGAGGAGGCGGAGGCGTGACGGAAGCGGGGGCGAGGGCGGGGGTGGAGACGGAGGCGGCGGCGGGCAGGGAGGCGGGCGCAGAGGTGGGTGCGAGGGAGGAGACGAGGAAGGGTGGGGCGCGCTGACCTAAGAAACATTTTTAATGGCTCCCAATAAAAGGAGCTGCGCGGAGTGGCGCGTGGCGAGGCGTGGCGCGGAGGCGCGGATGACGGCTGCAGCGGCGCGGAAGCGAGCTCCAAGACGACAGATAGCACGGGGGAGCGCTCCCGGTGGAGACCTCCGGAAAACCTTCAGTCCTGTCGCTGTCCGACCCGTCATCACGCGCAGCTTCTCTACGATTTCTCTCGCAACGTATTTTTAATTTGTGTAATTTTGTATAAGATAATGTATAATTGTATACTGATAATGTAATAAAGAGCTTATATAAAAGGTACATTATGTATTTTTCTTGCCGTTACCAGCTGCTTTATTCTCGAATCTAGACACATGTGTCATCTACTTCTACCTGAGGCAGCAGAACACGTAGGCAGCAAGAAAGCGAGGTTCACATGACATTTCGGACCGAGAAGTTGAGTCTATACCAGCTATAATCACCTCGGTTATCTGTCAGCTACTAAAGTGTACAAGCGCTGTTAGTGTTTATTATATTGTCGTTGGCACAGAAAGCCGAAGACTGTTGGGGAAAGCGAAATACTAATGAATGTCCACTTTCCCTACCGGTTGAGGGTCAATTTAAAAGCTGTAGGGATGAGGTGGCCTATTGCCCAAGGGACTAGTTTCAGGTAAACCGTCGGAGAGCGACGGAGACGGAGAACCTAGGTCGCGGCAGAAAGCGAGGCAGAGCGGAAAAGGAACTAGGCGGGGTGATGCTTGTAGCAGCAGGAGGGATCAGGGTGGGTGGAAGAGGGCGGGGAGGAGAGGGTTTGAGCGAAAAAGATCGAGGGATGGAGCGAGACGGGACGGCAAGGGGATGTGAAGGAGAGGAGCAGTGCGGGTCGGAGAAGCCTGGACACTGAAACGAGATGCGGGCAAAAGCGACATGAGTGGGGACAAGAGGGAGGAGATGAGTGGGGTTCGCGGAGGATAGAAACAGGTTGCAGGGCGGGTCAGAGGACGCGGAGTGTAGCGTGTACGGTGGAGCGTCGCGGGGCGCCGACCTACACGTCAGATTATGGGGATTTCCCCTTTCCAATAATCTCCACCATCCACGCCCCGCCCCACCTGGGACAAGCGTTAAGCTCACGACATGTCTCCCGAGATGTGCGGTAGTGTAGTGTGTGTAAGTGCATGTAACTGAGGGGAGAGGGTAGGACAAGGAAGGGGCATGGATGCAGGAAATAACGCGCGCGGTTCGTGGCCCGTTAGTTAAGATACTGCTCCGGCATTCGCTTAGTGTTGAACATACAAACAGCGGAAAATGACACGTTAGAGAAACCGACCGCTAGAATTCTCCGCTAGACTGCGACTGAACTCGACCTAGCTCTGTAGTCAGTGTGGAAAATCCGCCACACCGTCGGGATTCGAAGCGGACAGGGTCACTAGAGGCACTGGCAATGGTTGCTCTCAGCTAAACTCAGCAGCTGTGGGGAAAGGATTAACGGGGCGGAGATTATAATGAACAGAGCGGGACGGAGCGGGGCGGAGTGGATGAAGCGAGGCGGAGTGAGGAGGGAGCGGGGCGGAGCGGGTAAGAGCGCGGCATGCGGAGCGGGACAGGAAGGGGCATGGCGAGCGGGTCGGGTCGAGGAGGGGTGTGGTGAGGCGATCGGGGCGGGGAGGGGCGTGGTGAGCGAAGCCGGGGTGGGCGGCAGGGACGGGCGTGGAAGAGCGGGAGCGGGCAGGAGGGGAGGGCGTGATCCGCGCAGCAAGGGCCGAACCGCGCGTGGCGAGCGGACCGCGGGGGGGTGACGTGGATTGCGCTCAACAACAGTTCAAGTGGTGCGGCGAGCAGGCGCACGTCGTGGGTGCGGGAGGAGCGAGTGACGGGATGCGGGGGGGGGATGGTGATTCGTGTGGACGCGCCTGTGGGGGGGGAATCTATTGTCCTAAACTCGTCCGGCTCGGGGTGGCGAGCCGGTAGCGGGGGCGGCGACCGGCGATGGACAGAGGAGGCGCGGTAGGGCCGAGGTAGGCGTAGAGGAACAGAACGGTGCGGGGCACGGGACGGCGTGGGAGCGGGCAGGTGGCACGCTGCGGAACGCACGCGCAAGTGATCGAACCGGCCGGCCCGTCTCGCCGCTAGCGGTCGCGGCCGCTGGCGGGCAGCGCGCAGCTCGCTCGCTCGCGCACACACACACGCGCACGCACGGGCGGACCGGCGGTAGGCAGCTGTGAACCGACTCGCAGGTGCCCCGCGGGGCCGGACGCTTCCGTGCGCGCGGCGGCGCGACGGCGACGGGCCTGGGCAGCGCTGCCCGCGCCCTCCGCCCGCTCTGGAGGCACCAGTGCTCTCGAAATGATGCTAGGCCTGAAAAGACCCTGCAACCCTCAGTCTTTTGAATAAACACTCACACCAAAAGCAACAAGAATGGTTTCCACAAATTAGCGTGTAATTTCCATAGTAAATCAGTGAAACTTACTGTTCTCAAAATCTTCGGTTATTCTCTAATTTGTGGGTGTAGGCGAGAGACATTCTTGCGAACTGATCACTATAAATGTGTAAGCATATTGGATATTTTCTCGTTTTTGGAGTTTTTTCATTAACATTGAAGTTTTGACTATCCGACGTTCTCCAGCCATTCAGCCTAGATCTGTACTAAGAAGAATTACAATTCGATTCTATTTCCGTCTGCGGGTCGTTTTAATAAATATTATAAAACGTTTTTTTTTGTTCTGTGTTTGTTTAATATCAAATTAATTTATTGCGAATAATAACAAAAATTTTAGCCGTACCCACTGTATGGAAAGGGCTATCGAATGAACTTGCTTCGTTTGCGGACATTACTTCACCTTCAGGCGACTCATATCCACTCCTCCACAACCAGTTTTATATTTTCCCTGTCGCCAACTACACCCACTTGGCCTGTGGCGCCGCTCTCGTTCCAGTGCCGTTCCTGCACTTCCACATCCGCTCCCACTGGGGCATGCTGCAGGTCCTTCGCGTCGCCTCAGTCACTGGTGCTTCCGCCGCCCGCCTGACCCCGGCAAACTAGAGCGCCTATTCGTTCCCCACCACGCCCCGCGCAGCCTCAACTTCCGCCCGCCACCCATGCACCGGCCCACCATTTCGCAACCCGTCCGCAGCTTAACACGGCTACAGCCACCGCTATACGTCCCGACTACGCGGTTTATCTATCGATGCTGCCCCTTCTAACACCCACCCTA